GAGGAACGCGAGAAGGAAGGTGCAGTGGAGCTGAATGGTCCGGATAGAAGTTCGGGTAGAGGGGACAAAGGATTAGCGATGACTAGAGAGGGACAAAAAGGAAGAAAACACAGATTTATCATGGAAAAACCTTTAATGCAAATTTATAATTTTTTCTTAAAAAGATGAACAACTCACCTCAAATCTGTCGCGTGCAGAACGAGCCAATTTCAAACAGGTATTCTCCATTCATGTAAAAACTCTGCATTTGTCCTATAAAGGGAGCCACGGGGCCTTGGTTAGAGCTGGTAGGAGACGGAGAAAGAGGACGGAAGAGGAAGAGGACGTGGAGGAGGAAGAGGAAGAGAGAGAAGAGTAAGTGGAAGTGGTCTCCATTTGTTGGTCGAGTTGTCATGAACCATGCTATGTGGATGTCTCGGTACTGGAGTATGCTGTGTCGGCCCATGGTGTGGTCTGTGGAGAGGGATGGCAAGTGGTTAGAAGTGGTAAGACTGGTGATATTCTTAGAATTGGCAGTACTGTTGGTTAGAATTGGCAGTACTGTTGGTTAGAATTGGCAGTACTGTTGGTTAGAATTGGCAGTACTGTTGGTTAGAATTGGCAGTACTGTTGTTAGAATTGGCAGTACTGTTGGTTAGAATTGGCAGTACTAGAATTGGCAGTACTGTTGTTAGAATGGCAGTATTAGAATTGCAGTAGTTAGAATTGGCAGTACTGTTGTAAATTGCAGTACTGTTGGGATAGAATTGGCAGTACTGTTGGTTAGAATTGGCAGTACTGTTGGTTAGAATTGGCAGTACTGTTGGTTAGAATTGGCAGTACTGTTGGTTAGAATTGGCAGTACTGTTGTTAGATTGGCAGTACTGTTGGTTAGAATTGGAGACAAATTACTGTTGTGAATAACTGTTGACAAAATCAATGAAACATCTAAATCCTCATCATCTAGATCGATGTGAGCCTCATCAGAATACTCATCATTATCACCATCAAGCTTGACCTCACAGGCATCATCGCCATCACATCCAGAGCTTTAATCACCATGAAAATTCCTGCCATAACCACCAACGATTTTTTTTCGTCGAAATTCCTATCAATATATTCACAATCACTACCGTCATGATCAACCACTAATCTTAATTTCCCATTGAATTAAAATCCTTCTAAGATTAAGATACTGCATAACTTGTTGCCAATTATGACAGTGATAACTCTCCATTTCGGTTCAGTGTTACCAGACCCACCTTGCACGGGCGTTTCCTTTGTCACTTGCAGCGTGATCTGTGTTGCACGTCGCACCAAGTGTACTGTGTGCCATTGATGATCGTTTAGTCCGCTCCCGGCGTGTACAACCTGTAATGAACATGTTGGGTGTAATTCTCGTTTATTTTTATCATCATCATTGTTGTCATCATTTCCTCCTCCTTCTCCATCTCATTACTATTGTTATCCTTATCCTTACATTCATCATTATCCTCAATCATTATCTTAATTATTATTATTAACATAATTATTATCATTATCATTATAACATTATATCAACTGTTAATAACCATTATTATCAATGTTAATACCATTATCATCATTATTATCATCTATATCTCCATCTCTCTATTTCTCCCCTTTCCCTTCCTCTTTATCTCCTCACCTTATCCGATCTCCCAACTTGACGGTTCAGCATCCATTTATCTCTCCCTCACCTCTCCTCGCTCTTTCTCTCTCCATATTTTTCTCTCTCTTTCCATCTATCTCTTCTCTTTCTCTCTCTCTATCCCTCTATTTCTCTTTCTCTCTCTCTCTCTTCTCTATCTCTCTTTCTCTCTCTCTCTCCTCGCTTTCTCTCTCTCTCTCTCTCTCTCTCTCTCTCTCTCCCTCTCCTCTCCCCCTCTCTTTCTTTCTCTCTCTCTCTCTCCTTCTCCCCATCCCTCTCCCTCCTTCCTCCCTTCTCTCCCTCTCCCCCCTCTCCCTCCCTCACCCCCCTCACCTTATCCGATCCCCCAGCTTGACGGTGAGCCTCCCCAGCAGCGCAGCTCGATCTTGTCCGAACTGCGGCGACGTGTGCGTGTGGACGAGAGCCCCGCCGGCCGGTGGTGCGGAACCTGAAGGAGATGTCTCTCGCCTGCGTGCTGGACTCGTCGCCTGCCGTGACCTTGAAGTACTGGGTGCCCTCGAAGCTCAGGGTGGCGGCGTCTGCGGGTGAGGTGGTGGGTGGGTGGGGAGAGGGGTTGGGGGGGTAAGAGGGAGGAGGTGGTGATGTGGTGGTGGGGGGAGGGGAGGAAGGTAAGAGGAGGGCAGGGGGTGTAAGAGGGGAGGGGAAAGGCGTGGGTAAGAGGGAGTGTGTGGGAGGGGGGAATGGTGTGGGAGGGGTGGGGCGTAAGAGGGAGGGGAACGGTTGGGTAAGAGGGAGGGGTGGAGGGGGGTAAGGGGTGTCAGAGGGGAGGTAAAAGGTGGAAGGGGAAGGGAAGAAGGCGTGATAATGGGGAAGAAAATGGAACGTAAGTTGGTATTATAATCATTATCATTATTAGAATTAGCATTACCATTATCATTATACTGAAGCCAATAATTGTGATGGTAATTATCTCATGATAAAAACGAGAAGGATTGTGATGATACTGATAAGATAATAGTAAAATTAATGAGGAAAATAATAATGATAAAATCTAACATAATGATCATATTAACAAATAAAAAGTAAATATATAAAACAATAATAATGATCATAACAGATAGAAAGATAATGATAATTATGATGATAATACTTAAACAACAATAAAAATGACAAGAATGATAATGATAAAGAGAATAAAAATGATAACAACAAAGATTAAAAACAACAATTCCTTAATCACTGATCGCTTATTCTCTCTGAAAAAAAGTTTTTTTTTTTTTTTTTTTTTTTTTTTTTTTTTTTTTTTTAGTTTCTCAAATGTTTCAGAAGTTGCTTTTTTTCCGGTTTTGTTTAGGCTCAAGTTTTTTTTCCTTCCTTTTTTTGAAGCGGAATACAACGGTGGTAGATGAATGGTTATCATTATTGTTATCAATATTAGGATCATTACTATTGTTATTATTGTGATCATTATATTTTTATATTATTACTATATCATTATCATTGTTACTATTATCATTATCATTATTACTATTATGTTATCATTATTATTTGCTATTAATTATCATCATAAACATCACCATCATAATCCTCCTTCTTCTCCTCCTCCTCCTCCTCATTATCCTCTTCTTCATCATCATCATTATCACTATTATATATAACTATCCTTATCATTATTAACATCATTTTGTTGTTATCATTATCATCATCCGCATTTTCTTTTCTCTACTTACCCTCATGTTAACTTACCTCATATCAGTGTACCATTATTCTATATAAAACTAATGTACTTTTTCCCCTATCTCTCCCTCATCTCTCTGATTTACTTATTTACCTATGCATCTAACCAGCTCTCTTCCCTTACCCTTTTCCCTATCTCTCCCCATTTCTACTGATTTACCTATTACCTATTCATCTAACCAGCTCTCTTCCCTTACCCTTTTCCTCCCTCTCTCCCCATTTCTGCTGTGATCTACCTATCTACCTATTCAACCAGCTCTCTGCCCTTACCTTTCCCGCAGGTGGGGCCGACGAAGGTGGTGTGCGAGCAGTCACACAAAGCGGCCCCAGCCTTGTCTGCAGGAGCCACCGTGCATACAGGGGGAGGAGGAGCAGGTACCGCCGTCGCTGTGGCAGAATTCGACGATGGATCCTGCAGGAGGGAGGAAGGAGGTGGAGGGGGGTTAGATGAGGGGTAGGGGGAAGGGAGGGAGGGGAGAGGGTGAGGGTGGGGGTGGGGGGGTGGGGTGAGGGGGTGATGGTGGTGGGATGGGGGGAGAGGGGATGGGGTGGGGAGAAGGGAGGGGAGATGGGGAGGGGGAAGAAGGGGATGAGGGTGGGGAGAAGGGGAGGGGAGGGGAGGGGATGGGGGTGGGGAGAAGGGGATGGGGTGGGGAGAAGATGGAGGATGGGAAGAATTAAGGTTAGGTTTTTTATATTGATTGCTTATAAACGTTATTGTGTTTGTAACTGCTTTTTTTTCCTTTTTGGCACACGTTAGTGCTTATATTTTCATCTTTATCATTTATACCCGTTACTGTGTTTGTAATTTAGATTCTCTTGTTTTTGCACACCACTACGTTCGCATCTGTTTTTATTTTGACCATTTGCGCACGTCATCGTCATCGCATTTCCCTCCAACCACTCCTCTCCTTACCCGAATCCTGCTTCTTCGCGTAAGAAGTGAGATCCGAAGCCTGTCCGTTGATCACCAAATCCCTCATGCATCCTACGTATCCTAGACCGAGGCGTCCTGTCCACAGCTCGGGGGGGACGCTGACCCCGACCCCAACGCCCCCGAGGTAGAGGGCGCCTTCGAGGTCCAGCTGGTGCGAGTCTCCTGCAGGGGAAGATGAGATGTGTTTGTTATTTTTGTTTATTTATTTATTTGTTTATTATTATTATTATTATTATCATTATTATCATTATTATCATTATTATTATCATTTTCATTATTATCCTTATCCTTATTCCTTATCTTATTATATTATCATTAATTATCATTATTAATTATTATTATAAACCCCCCCCATCCCCCCAGATATACCCTCCTCCCCCACTACAACCTCCCCATCATCCCCCCCAGATATACCATCCTCTGCAACACATCCTCCCCCCCTAAGATATACCCTCCTACCCACCACAAACCTACCCCATCCCCCCCCGCAAAAAAAAGAAGCCTCCCCCCCGATATACCTCCTCCTACTCACTCACAACCCTCCCCCATCACCAAGACATACCTCCTCCTGCCCACAACCCCTTCCTAATTAACCCTCCTCCTACCCCAATCCTCCCCATCACTCCCTCTTCTCCAGATATACCCTACTCCTACCCCATCACCTCCCCCCTAAAATATACCCTCCTACCCACCCACAAACCCTACCCCATCACCCCC